GCTGCTGGTCCATTTCCGTGCACAATTCAAAGTGCTGGTCTTGGCCTATAAAGCCCTATATGGCTCTAGTCCAGCTTGTCTGAACATATTTCCCTCTACGTTCCGCCTCATAGTTTAAGATCCACGGGGAGGCCCTGCTCTCAGTCCTACCAGCCTCGCAAATGTGTCGGGTGGGAACAAGGGACAGGGCCTTCTCAGTGGTGACTCCTCTCCACTGGCTGCCAGTTCATTTCCGTGCACAATTCAAAGTGCTGGTCTTGGCCTATAAAGCCCTATATGGCTCTAGTCCAGCTTACTTGTCTGAATGTATTTCCCTCTACGTTCCGCCTCATAGTTTAAGATCCACCGGGGAGGCCCTGCTCTCGGTCCTACCAGCTTCACAAATACTGCTGGTGGGAACGAGGGACAGGGTCTCCTCGGTGGTGATGTCATGCTGAAACTTTGTTTTGTAATGTCTTCATAGAGGAATGTTCACATCTTTGCAACCAAGAATTTATACTTTTGAAACCATCAAACCTTTGTCACAAGAACGATACAAATAAATTAACAGTTACTGTTTCACATTAAGTAAAGTCTCTCTCAAGCTCTCATCTCCAACTTAAGAAGACACAAAAGGAGGTAGAAGAATTAAACAACCTTTTATTCTTTGGTGGCATATTCGCACAGGCTGGCAGCCTGACCCTTCCTGACCTTTTTACATTTTTGGTGGGATGATAAAATGCAGGTCCACCCTGCCTGAAGTTTGTTCTTCTTTCCTTTCACAGGCTTGCTCTAAGAGAGTATGGGCAGGGCACAGTTGTTATTTACCCAGGGATAACTCTGAAACCAGACATGTCTTCATTCTTATAGCTTTACATAATATATATTTCACAATACCAAATTTAATTCAGCAAACACAGAAGAATGAAGTTACAAAAAAAAGTTGTTTTTCTTACTTCTTATTAGACGCTTAAAGAAGGCATTGTGAGATTTGTCCCCAGTTTTAAAAATGTAACCAGTCTCTCTTTGATGGATCATAGAGTTATCTATATAAATAAGAATGTCATGTTAGTTTGTGGGATTAACATAACGCAAAAACCACTGGACAAATTGGCACCAAATTTGGACACAGTACCCATATCAGGCCAGCAAGTGACCATCACTCATTAAAACCCTGAAAAACACAGCAGAAGGGACACAAAAAGCCAAAAAAGCAAAAGGATGCTACAGCACATGTGCAATAAAGACTGTCCCAGCAAATAAAACACACAATAGCACATCCACACTCTCTTCCGGACTACAGCTCCCAGCATCCCCTAGATGCTGGGAGCTTTGGGAGAGGAGGATGATCCAAATGCATTGCTTCTAAGATGCAAGGTTTTTTCTCCTAGGATTTCTTTGAGAGCATCCCAATCCCTGCATATTCCTGGACTGTAACTCCCAGCAATCCTCCAGACAGATAGATTAGATAGAGATAGGTAGGTAGGTAGGGAGAGAGATTGATCAGGAGGACTGCTGGGAGTTGCAGTCCAAGAATAGGTAGAGAAGGAAGAAAGGGGAGAAAGCAAAAAGGAAAGAAAATGGGGAAAAGGGAAGAGGAAGAGAAGGAAGGAAGGAAGGAGAGAAGGGAAGAAAAAAGGGAAGGAAGGAGAGAAAGAAAGGAGAGAAAGAGGGAGGGAAGGTTGGCCACAACAACATGTGGCAGGTATAGCTAGTGTACCATATTTGAGTAATATACGCAATGACAATCAAACATTAGGCTATCTATTTTATTTATTTATTTATTTGTTAAAAAAATTCTATACCGATCTTCTCACCTACAGGAGGGACTCAGATCCGGTTCACAACATGTGTTCATATACAAAAATACAAACCACACAATGCATCATCATTACACAATTAAAAACATATTACAATACAACACTTTGTATCTCTCACTTTTGTACAGAACTTAAACATTATAGGCTACATAATGATATTTGATGTTGTTGTTATTACTATTTAAATAATACATATTCCACATAACGCTCCTTCCCGCCACCCAAACTCAAGAAATGCAAAGGGAACGATGGATAACAACAGTGAAAGAGAGAAGTAGAAAGGAGATAAGGATAAGAATTGACAAAAAGATAGCAGATACACAGTAGTAAAAATGAGTTAGAATTTTTTACAATCATGCTCGTTATTAAATTATTAAATTTAGTGGTAACCGCCTATTAAAACGTTCTATTAATGCCTATCCTAAAGGTTTTTTAAAAATCTGTCATGATGGTGTTTTCCAGAGCTAGACAGTGAAGTTTTTAGTTTGCACCGCAACATAAGACCACCTTTTTTCCCAGAGTGATGTAGGGTGCATCTACACCAGGCATGGGCAAACTTGGACTCTCCAGGTGTTTTGAACTTCAACTCCTACAATTCCCAACAGCCCACTGGCTGTTAGGAATTTTGGGAGTTGTAGTCCAAAACACCTGGAGGGCCCGAGTTTGCCTATGCCTGATCTACACTGTCAAATAACGGAGCGTATTAACCTAAGTGCATCCATAAAATGCATGCACACTAATACGATTTAACCCGGGGTAAGCTATTTAATGCGGCTCAGGCAATCCAAAGAGGTGGGATGGCTGCTCCTTCCTGCTTTCTTCACACCTGGTTTTTCCCCAGACAAGAAAGTAAATCCATCCAACACAAGGGTGCATCTACACTGTCCCTTCTTGCTTTCTTCATACTTGATTTTTCCCCAGACAAGAAAGTAAATCCATCTACCACAAGCAGGCCTGTAGCCAGGATTTTGATTGGGGGGAGGGGGGCTGAGTTTGATGGGGGGGGGGGGGGGGGGGGGAGCTGAGGATCTGCCCTAGCAAACCTTTTGTATTGTTACCCCAATACCCCCATGCATATGGGAGATATTGAGCATGTTGATCAGATCGTGATATGAATAAACATAACAGTTTGAATAATGTACCAGTAAGGCCTTCTCGCTGACCACTCTGAGAATTTCGGGGGGGGGGGCTGAAGCCCCTCAACCCCCCCCCCCCCCCCCAACTGATACATGAGGTTGACAGACCTCCTCTTCCTGATCTGCACCACATGACTGGCAAAAGAACCTGGCTAGAGGTGGGGGGGAGGTGGTGGAAAATCTAAAAATCGAGCCCATGCCCAACGTGGTCGGGCTGTTAGGCCAGTGTGCCACTACCTGTGTGGCTCTATTGTTGTTCAGAACCTGCACTTTTTATGCCAGTTTTGAGCTGCATTATGTCGCTGTGTAGAAGGACCAATAATCTCTTGTATAGGTAGCAAAGAGCCTAAAATCGGGTTGAAAAAAAATCGAAGCCTGAGTCAAAGACATGGGAAAGGCAGATGGGTTGGGGGGGGGGGGCAACCCATCACTCCTGTGGACTCATCACTCACTTAATGATGACTCAACAACAGCAACAGACGGTGGCAAGCTGAGCAGTTGACCAGTGCCAGCTTGCAAGGAAGATCAGGTGTACCAAATGGGAGCAAGCAATTCCACCCCTCTGAGCATCTCTGAAGCCAAGTCTAGGGGAGTGATGTTGGGAGTATCTGCAATCTCACTCACATTTCTAAGGAGACCTACTTCCTGTTTGTGCCATGCTGTAATGCACCTCCTCACATTCCAAAGTTTATTGCACCTGATTTAAATATGCATGTAAGCTAATGAGTTGACCACCTTTTGAGATGTATCTGGGCACATGTTTGGAAGGGTATATAAAGGGGATGTATTCCTTAGTTCCTCACATTTGCCATTTTGCTCTGCTTTGCTACTTTTGAGATGTAACCTTTTTGGAGGGAGAGGCCTGCTTACCATCTTTAAGGCCTGACTCATTGCTCTGAATGTAACCAAAGGATTTGTTACCTGGATGAGATTTACACCATGCACACTCTTTTCTTAGTAAGTACATTCTTTGATCTATAACTCAGTGTCTGAACTAGTTATTTGCATGCGTATTTCCTAAAAGGGAGAAAGCAGGTGACTGTGCATTTTGTTGGTCTCATCTTTCCTTAAACCCCAGGCATTTCTAGCTAGCTCTGGTCCCCAAGCTTCCTTGTTGTGTGTTTAAGGCTATTGATAAACCAGCATTGATCTGATATTGTAACGACTACCAGTGTCATGCAATTTTTTTTTCCTAAAAAGTGAGTGGTGTCTTGGACATAACAAAGTAGCCAATCACTGAAAATGCCCTTCTTCATTTTCTCTACAAATTATTTAACCAAAGTGCAAAAGGAAGGAAAATTATCAGTGGACATACAGTGAAGACATCTGCCCTTGCGCTTTGTTACTCTGCTGCTGAATACACATGTTTAATGTGGAACACATCTCACCACACTAAAACAGTGGATGAGGCTCTGAAGGAGATATGGTACATTATCACAGGATGTCTATGCCCAACACCTCTGGAGATATTATGCTGTTTAGCCCAGTATTGCACCACCTGACATCTGCCGGGGAAATAGCAGCCAATAATGAAAGGACCGTCCCCTGTTTGGATATCAGACAGCACACCAAGGCCTTAAATCGCAGGAACATCTCAGCAAGCGAGAGTCCAAAAGTGGCAGACTAAAACCCAGAACCTCAACCCATAGCTATGCCATCCTCTACATAGATCTTCTCCTTCTAATACCAATATTCTCCTCTTTCCAAATGTAACCCAATCTTTTGCCTCCAGGATGGCATAGCTATCTCTGGAGGGAGAAATCGAAGGTGGAAAAAACTTTAAAATCATTTTATAAGAGCATCTCTAATTAAAACATGAAATAAATATAAGGAAAGATGGTACACGAAAACCCCAATATGGTTCTCACCAAATGAGAACCTGTTCTGTTTACACTGTAACTGTTGTATGTAAATAAATATTTCCTTTTAAAAAAGAGGCAAACCCTATTTAATGTTTGTGGAAATATATCCCACCAACGTTAGTAAGGAAAAAAGGGTCTCCACACAAAACTCAAAGGGTGCCAAAAACCCTTTATTTAGAAAATTGCAGAAGGGGGGGGGGGGGATTCCATCTTAGGTCGTCCTCCGAGTTTTGCTTCTTCGTCGTCTGGATCTAAAGCAATCCTGCTTTCGAAGTTGGCTTGTTTCCCCTCCAGCAGACCTTAGAAGGCGCCTCAGCATTACTTTCCATCTCTAGAAGTTTAATCCAGAAAGAGAATGAGAAAGTAACCAATCATCAATAATGTGGCTTGATGTGTGGAAACAAGGCTTGGAGATAAATCTTCAGGGCCCTTCCACAGAGCTCTATATCCCAGAAGATCAAGGCAGAAAACCCCACAGTATCTGCTTTGAACTGGGTTATCTGAGTCCACACTCAGATAATGTGGGGTTTTCTGCCTTGATCTTCTGGGATATAGGACTGTGTGGAAGGGCCCTCGGTGGAGATACCTTTCTCCCTTGAGGAACTCTTTCAAGAGTGAATTTTCCTCCTTAGCTCAGGATTTGTCTCAGCCCCGTACTTAACTAGAAGTTATTTGTAAGTGGGATGTTTGTAACTCGGGCACTGCCTGTTGATACCGCTCTTAAACAACTCGTTTTATTTAGCACGAAGCTTTCCTGGATGGCTCCACTGAGGGCCCTTCCACACAGCCCTATATCTCAGGATATTAAGGCAGAAAACTCCACATTATCTGAGTGTGGACTCAGATAACCTAGTTCAAATCAGATACTGTGGGATCACCAGACTCTCCGATTTCCCATTGCGCTTTACATTGGAGGTTTCCAGGCAATGCCTCTAAACCCTGGGTATTTATTTACGCGCCTGTGGCCTCCTAAGGTCCCAATTCCACTGAGTGAAGCTGTGTTAACTTTCCTCTCTAGAAGACTCTTGGCCGACAATTCTCTTATTTCCCTTTTTGATACCCAGTTGATAATATCCCAGGGAGAGATGGGGGGGGGGATGGGGGAGACTTTGGGTTGCCAAAGGATCCTCAAACTAAGCCTCGGATTAAGCCTGTGGTTCTCAACCTTCCCAATACCTCGCCCCTTTAATACAGTTCCTCATGTTGTGGTGACCCCAACTATAACATTATTTTTATTGCTACTTCATAACTGTAATGTTGCTATTGTTATGAATCGTAATGAAAATATCTGATATGCAAGATGTATTTTCATTCACTGGATCAAATTTGGCACAAATACCCGATACGCCCAAATTTGAATGCTGGTGATGTTGGGGGGATTGATTTTGTCATCTGGGAGTTGTAGCTGATGGAATTTAAAGTTCACCTACAATCAAAGAGCATTCTGAACTCCACCAGCAATGGAGTTGAACCAAAAGGTTACCTGAATGGTGGCCTTTCCACCTGCCCCGGGGTTTCAGACCACCCTCTTTCCTCATGGGCCTCCTTGGCTAGGCCTGTTGGGCACAAACACGTGGAGGACCCCCAGGACCCTACTCACCGTCCTTTCCTGGAGGTGAAGGTAGGTGGGCACCATCCAGACTCCGAGGCTGCGCTCTTAGCCAAGCTTCCCTGTTGGGAACAAACACAGGAAGAGGTCCTACACTGTCATACAAGCCACATTATCTACTTCGAACTGGATTATCTGTGGCCCCTTCCACACAGCTCTATAAAATCCCACACTATCTGCTTTGAACTGGATTGTATCGCAGTGTGGACTCAAATAGCATGGTTCAAAGCAGATATTGTGGATTATGTGCCTTGGTATTCTGGGTTATGTGGCTGTGTGGAAGGGCCCTGAGTCTACACTGTCATATAATCCAGTTCAAAGCAGATATTTATTTATTTACAGTATTTATATACCGCTTTTTTCACCCATGGGGTGACTCAAAACAGTTTACACAGAAATAGTGGCAAAATGCAATGCCTTGCATACCTACACCAAATCACAATCAACATCATATAACTATGTATAAAATCAATGAGACAATTCATCATAAGCTAAGATAAAAGGCCATTCAAAACATGAAATATAAGAATTAAAACACCTAATAAACATTAAATCAGGATTTAATATGGCAGTATAGAAGGGGCCATATATTCCACCTTCCATTGGGTTAGCAGTCTCAATATGGTTCTTCCCCCCACCCTGGACATTGCACAGATTTATAAACCCCACTTGCCTAGTTTTCCATAGATGCAGGCGAAACGTCAGGAGATAATGTTTCTGGACAATGGCCATACAGCCTGGAAAACTCACAGCAACCCAGTAAATCCGGTCATGAAAGCTTTCACAGTCCCAAGATACCCTGTCCTGTATTATTTCCCTCTTTCTCCACCTAATGCCTCCCCCTTGTTGTTGTTGTTGGGTTGTTCGATTGTTGTAGGTTTTTTCGGGCTATATGGCCATGTTCTAGAGACATTCCCTCCTGACGTTTCGCCTGCATCTATGGCAAGCATCCTCAGAGGTAGTGAGGTCGGTTGGAACTAGGAAAAAGGGTTTATATATCTGTGGAATGACCAGGGTGAGACAAAGAACTCTTGTCTGTTGGAGCTAGGTGTGAATGTTTCAACTGACCACCTTGATTAGCATTTGATGGCCTGGCAGTGCCTGGGGCAATCTTTTGTTGAGAGGTAATTAGATGTCCCAGATTGTTTCCTTGCTGTTATAATTTTAGAGGTTTTTTTTTAATACTGGTAGCCAGATTTTGTTCATTTTCATGGTTTCCTCCCTTCTGTTGAAATTGTCCACATGCTTGTGGATTTCAATGGCTTCTCCTTGTAGTCTGACATGGTGGTTGTGAGAGTGGTCCAGCATTTCTGTGTTCTCAAATAATATGCTGTGTCCAGGTTGTTTCATCAGGTGCTCTGCTGTGGCTGACTTCTCTGGATGAAGTAGTCTGCAGTGCCTTTTTTGTTATTGTTTGCCTTTAAGTCGCCCAGGTTGCCCCAGTTTTGTCTTGGCGGAATGTCTCCCTAGAAAGTTTCCCCTTACCTTCCCCGAGGGCTGAGAGAGTGTGACCTGCCCACCCACTGGGTTTCAAGGAGCATGACAGTTTTCGGGGACCCCTGAAGCATCCCTGTGCTCGCACGTTGTCTGTTTCTGGGACGTTTCCCCTTGCCATTCAACAGGGCAATGGGAAAGGCCACCCAACTGTTCCTTTGCCCTTGCATTTAGGGTGCATCTAAAGAGACACAGGACAGAGTCGGGGGTTGAACTTAGTATCCCCGCTGGTCCATTCCCAGCCCACCAGGAGGGGGGGGGGGGGAAATGACCGAGAAGAGAAGCCTGGAACTCTCTCAGGAGTGTGGCAGAGGCTTTTAAACAGGAGCTGGAATCTGGGGTGTTGTAGGTTTTTTCGGGCTATGGCCATGTTCTAGAGGCATTCTCTCCTGACGTTTCGCCTGCATCTATGGCAAGCATCTCACTACCTCTGAGGATGCTTGACATAGATGCAGGCGAAACGTCAGGAGAGAATGCCTCTAGAACATGGCCATATAGCCCTAAAAAACCTACAACAACCCAATTCCGGCCATGAAGGCCTTCGACAATATGAACCTAAATCGCTTGCGATAGAATGCGCTGCCTTAGCGCCAACCTGTTTGGGGGGGGGGGGGGCGTCTACACATGAATGCGGTTTGACACCTTTTAAACTATCATGACTCCATACTGTGGCATCCTGGGAGTTCAGTTCTTCTCTGGAGCTCAAATTCTACTTCCCATCTCCACCGTCCATCAAAAACAAAACAAACAAACAAACAACCCCCCCCCCAAAAAAAACCCCCAAAACAAAACAAACTGAAGTCCTCTAGACTTGCAGTCCCTGCACTTTCAGGCTGGATCTACACCTCCCTAGGCCCCTTCCACACAGCTGAATAATAAAATCCCAGATTATCTGCTTTGAATTGAAATGCATGGCAGTGTAGACTCAGATATCCCAGTTCAAAGCAGATTTTGTGGAATTTTCTGCCTTAGTATTCGGGATTATATGGCTGTGTGGAAGGGCCTTGTTGCTTTGCTGGTGTTTTTCCATACATACACACACACACACACCGTTTTGCATGAAAAAAGAAATGTGCAAAGTACAGGCAAGAGTCTTTTTCAAACTAGAGGGAATGGATTTCCTTCCTACAAGGTATTAGGAACACAGCATCCCATTCAATAGGTCTTATTGTTCAGTCTAGGGTCCTTCCACACAGCCCTATATCCCAGAATATCAAAGCAGGAAATCCCGCATTATCTGAGTATGGACTCAGAGAACCCAGTTCAAAGCAGATATTGTGGGATTTTCTGCATCGATATTCTGGGTTATATGGCTGGGTGGAAGGGCCCCTAGATCCCAGGATACGATCCCAGATTATCTGATTTGAACTAAATTACATGAGGCCTCTTCTATACTGCCATATAATCCAGATTATCAAATCAGATAATCCATATTATGTGCTTTGAACTGGATTATATGAGTCTACACTGCCATATGATCCAATTCAAAGCAGATAATTTGGATTTTATATGCCAGTGTAAAAGGGGCCTAACTCTACACTGCTAGATGGTTTGGGATAAGCAGATAATCTGGCACCAGATCTTGGGATCTAGAGCAGTGTGGAAGGGTATCCAAAAACCCAGACATCTATCCAAAAACCCAGACACCAATTAGCGAAAGGTGAGCTGTTCAGAGTTTTATCATCACTCTTGCATACAGTATTATAAGCAACTGGTCAATATAAGCGAAGTCTCTGGAGCAACAAGCAAAACACTTAGAATGATTCTTGAGTCAGGGTTTTGTCTTCACTATATTTACCAGTTGTTTATAAGACTACAGGGAAGAGTGAAGATAAAACTCTGCCCAAGAGCAACCTCCACAGGGAGGAAACAGAGTATCGTCGGGAGTTGTACCTTGTGGACGTTATTTCACTTTCTCAAGAATCATTCTAAGTGTTTTGCTTGTTGTTGAGTGAAGAGAGATTGGGGGAGGGGGGGGCACTTGTCTCCTGCCTATATCATCAGTTGGGAGAACCTCCACCACCAACTGCTGCTCTGACCAGAGTGAAGAGAGAGGGAGCTACAGCTGAAGACAGTTCCATCTTGTCTCCTGAGCTTTACTGATAATATAATATATTGTATATACATATAATATTTATAATATTATAGTGTAATACAATATAAAGCTACTCATAATACAATATTATAATTATATATATTATTTTACATGTAATATTACTAATAATATTACAATGCAATGGTGTAGTACAATATAACAATATATAATACTGATATTGTACTATGCTAATAACACACACACACACACATATATATAGCCACTCTAGTGGCTATACACTACAATTAGACATAAATCAAATTAAAACAATACATCCACAAGCAATAAAATAAATAACTAAACCCACAAACCTTAATATTGCATGAGAATGGTGTCTGTTATTTTAGCACGAGGTTATCTGCCATGCATGGCTCCTTCCACACAGCTGAATGAAATCCCACATTATCTGCTTTGAACTGGAATATATGGCAGTGTGGACTCAGATAACCCATTTCAAAGCAGATATTGTGGGATTTTCTGCCTTGGTATTCTGGGTTTATATGGCTGTTTGGAAGGGCCCTGAGGTCATCAGCACTGCTATATAATGCAGTTTGAAACTGGATTGAAACTGAGTCCAGACTATAGGCCATACACAGACCATAGAATGAATTTTCAAGCTGCATTATATGTCAATGTCAGTGTAGATGGGGCCTGAGGAGACTTGGAAGGCCCAAAATGCATTAATCCAACAGATGCACCTCATAGGTGGAGGAAAGAGCTTAAAATGGGTGATTTAAAAGAACAGAATTTGCCATTGCCGGGCTCCTAACTGTCTCAAAAAAGAAATTAAGAAAGAAAGAAAGAAAGAAAGAAAGAAAGAAAGAAAGAAAGAAAGAAAGAAAGAAAGCAATTGATGGAGAAGAATTTGGTGAATCATCCTGTCTCAGCTCACATGCCATTTCAGCTAAAGGAGACAGGGAAAGGATCCATTTTAAGTCCCCTGCTGCAGGTTTTTAAGATGGCTGCTTCTTCTGGCAGAGGCTGCTGGGGTGGAGGAAGGGAGGAGTATATTCTTGTCTATTATATCTCCAAACTAGGCCTCATTTAATAAAGCAGGAAGTTGTGCAAGCCCATCCCGGCAGAGGCAAACCAGCTACTGTTGCTTTGCTGGTGTTTTTCCACAGACACACACACACACCTACCTTTGCATGGCAAAAATAAATGTGCAAAGATCAGGCAAGAGTCTTTTCAATCTAGAGGGAATGGCTTTCCCTCCTACAAGGTATAAGGAACACAGCATCCCATTCAATAGGTCTTATGGTTCAATCTAGGCCAAGACCAAGGGTCCTTCCACACAGCCCTATATCCCAGAATATCAAGACAGGAAATCCCACTCAGATAACCCAGTTCGAAGCAGATATTGTGGGATTTTCTAGCTTGATATTCTGGGATATAGGGCTGTGTGGAAGGGGCCCCAAGACTCAGGCCCCTTCTACACTGCCATATCCTGCAGTCCAATGCAGTTAAGAAAAT